ATCCCATCAGCCGAGGAACTGGGGCGGGGATCGCCGGCGCGGGGGTCTGGGGCTCCCCCTTCCCCCTCCCGGGGAGGGGGGAGCTGCGAAGACATGCGGCACGGCTCGCGTGACGTCATACTTGTTAGTTCGTTTTCCTGGGGGAGTTCTGTCCACTTGTTTGTCTATTTTTGTTGTTTAACCAGAATAGGGGTTTGTTTTGTAGCACTTACCTTTCTGGGTGCCTGTCCCGGTCGATGGCAGATATAGAATGCTCCAAATCACATGTGCATTTCTATGGGCCATTGCTCCCCGTGCCTCTCTGAGGGGGCCAGGTTCTGGCGCGTGGTCCCTGGTAGGCCTAGAACTCCACCCACATCGACTGATGCAAAATAGTTAGGGTATCCATATCAGCCATGGATAGCTCCGGGGAGCCATAGGGGCTCCCCCCAGAAAATATTTAAAACTAAATGGGTAGAACACCTGGAGAGAAATGATATAATATCAGACACACAGTATGGTTTTCGATCTGGAAGATCCTGTGTATCGAATTTACTGTTTCTATGATCGAGCAACAGAGATATTACAGGAAAGAGATGGTTGGATTGACTGCATCTATCTGAACCTAAAAAAGGCTTTCGACAGAGTTCCACATAAGAGGTTGTTCTGGAAATTGGAAAAATATTGGAGGGGTGACAAGTAAGCTTCTAACATGGATGAAAAATATTCTGACTGATAGAAAAATGAGGGCAGTGATCAGAGGCAATGTATCAGACTGGAGAAATGTCACAAGTGGAGTACCACAGGGTTCAGTTCTTGCACCAGTGATGTTTATTGTCTACATAAATGATCTACCAGTTGGTATACAGAATTATATGAACATGTTTGCTGATGATGCTAAGATAATAGGAAGGATAAGAAACTTAGATGATTGTCATGCCCTTCAAGATGACCTGGACAAAATAAGTATATGGAGCACCACTTGGCAAATGGAATTTAATGTTAATAAATGCCATGTTATGGAATGTGGAATAGGAGAACATAGACCACACACAACCTATATATTATGTGAGAAATCTTTAAAGAATTCTGATAAAGAAAGAGATCTAGGGGTGGTTCTAGATAGAAAACTATCACCTGAGGACCACATAAAGAATATTGTTTGAGGAGCCTATGTCACGCTTTCTAACTTCAGAATTGCTTTTAATTAACACTTTCGCGTTCCACAAACTGACTATCTCGTCACTCATTTTTCTACTGAATGTGTTCCAACGACGCAGTACTGAGTCACTCATTAAAATATTTTTAAAAAATTTAAATTTTATCAGATCAATCTGGTAGTGGTTTTAAAATAAGCACCTTTAGATTGCACACAATTTGATACCAAAATCAAAGATATAACATGAAACTTGATGTCCAAACACTTGAAATATTATAAATAGGCTTTTGGTCCGAATATTAAAATATTTGTTAAAATTCTATTTATTGTCCTATTATCTTGGGACTAGTTTTAAACTGCGCGCCTTTTTATTGCGAACAATTTGATACCAAAATGAAAGATGTAACACAAATATTTATGTCAGAACACTGGAAAGATATAAATAAATTTGTGATGATGAGCGTCCAGAATTAAAATATTTGTTAAAAATCCAGTTATTGCTCTATTATTCTGGGACTAGTTTTAAAATAATCGCCTTTTTATTGTGAACAATTTGATACCAAAACGAGCGACGTAGCACGAAATTTGATGTTATCAAATTGAACGAGTTGAACATTAGGTCGCAATGTACAAAATGGTGCTCGTTCACGGGTAACTTTAGGCTTTTATGCGGGGAGGCACTCCAGCCTTTTGTACATTTTATTCATACACATCTGTAGGGAATTTAATTGCGAACACAATGATACCAAAACGAGCGACGTAGCACAAGAATTAAGGTAAAAAAATGGAATGAGAATGCACATGTTACTGATTTTGTGCGTTTTTGCCGACTTTACGCTTTGCTGTTGGGAGTCACGCTAGGCTTTTGGACATTATATTTATACACACCTGTAGAGAATTTAATTGCGAACACAATGATACCAAAACGAGCAACGTAGCACGAGAATTAAGGTGAGAAAGCTGGAACGAGTATACACATTTGGGTGTCACCGCGCGCTTACCCACACGCCGAGGCACATGACCCCCCTGTCAACCACGGAGCGCGAAAGTGTAAATACATGGATGGCGATATACTAAAGAAATTGTTCACGACTTTTGTTAGGCCGAAGCTAGAATATGCAGCTGTTGTGTGGTGCCCATATCTTAAGAAACACATCAACAAACTGGAAAAGGTGCAAAGACATGCCACTAAGTGGCTCCCAGAACTGAAGGGCAAGAGCTACGAGGAGAGGTTAGAGGCATTAAATATGCTAAAAATAGAAGACAGAAGAAAAAGAGGCGATATGATCACTACATACAAAATAGTAACAGGAATTGATAAAATCGATAGGGAAGATTTCCTGAGACCTGGAACTTTAAGAACAAGAGATCATAGATTTAAACTAACGAAACACAGATGCCGAAGAAATATAAGAAAATTCACTTTCGCAAATAGAGTGGTAGACGGTTGGAACAAGTTAGGTGAGAAGGTGGTGGAGGCCAAGACCGTCAGTAGTTTCAAAGCGTTATATGACAAAGAGTGCTGGGAAGACGGGACACCATGAGCGTAGCTCTCATCCTGTAACTACACTTAGGTAATTACCAGTGACAGAATTGAACTCTACTGACATGAGGAGTCAGACAACCTGATGGTGCTGCCACCTGGTGGTGGTTAGCTGGAACTTGGGTATTTGACTTAATGCTGGATGGATTATTTGCATTGTCATTTGCTGCTTCATTACTTTTCTTTTTGGAAACATTGGAGTTGCGTGTTTTGCTTGCCTTACTTTCTGGCTGTTTCCTTGAGAGGAGGATGATAACGTCCCTGTGGCTCTGTGAGGGAGGACCACGTTTTGGCTCTGCTCTCTCAGAGGCCATTAAGGAGTCCTAAGGCTCATGTCACTTGTATGTGTAGAATTATCCCAGTGAGCTAGTCTCACCCCCACCCCACCTGCCACCTACCTCCTTTTTTATACTTCGTCAATGGCAATGTAACAATAGCCGACCAACACTAACTCGTCAGCTACATTAACCACTTAACTGCGCCAACCAAGTATTCTCGGTCGGTGGGAAACTGCGCCAACCGAGAAAACTCTTTTTGATTTTTTGGTACCAATTCTAGATGTGTACGAGGTTGGTTGTGTACGAAATGGACTCTTAGGACCTCCAGTGAGAGGCAGCCATCTTGGAAAAAAATCCCAGAATGTCCTAAGGCTGCTGGCTGGGTTAGTACTGAATGAGCAACCATGGGTGGTGCACGCGCCTCTGGCTTCCAAACACCTGTCCGACGCGGTGTTGAAAGATAATGCTTTGTCGATGAAATTCAAACCTTATTGTTTGAAGAACATTAGGGTCATAATATTGGTGAAGCTAGGCGCAATAAGGACCTAACACAAAAGTCGGATGCAAGTGATACAGCACCTATGAGGACAATACAGTGAGCGTATCCAGTTGTAGCTCTGAGCGTCACCCTTGCAATCCTATGCTATCTACAATTTATTTAGATGACACATAGATGAATCGCTTTCTGTGTTCAGTGATGATGCATCTGATACAAGTGGCATAGATGAACAGTGTTAGCAGCTTCCATGGTGGTGTTTTTCTTAGTTATTTTCAAGAATACCTGAATCTCTTCCTGACTAACGGACACTCTTTGAGGCTAGCCGAATCTCTCTCTGACTGACGGACACTCTTGAGGTAAGCTGAATCTCTTCCTGTGTGGGACCATACAAAGCGATCTTTTCAAGACTACCTTACAAATTTATCTTTTCCTATAATCTTTTCAATACTACCTTATGCTTTACAAGCTTGGCTACATACAACCTACAAGTTCTAAAGCCAAGGGTGTATGTGAGTGCGTTATTTGCAAGCACACAGAATGAAGAAAAAGGAAGCAAAAATTTATCTGTACCTGGTGCACTGAGAGCGAAGTCGCTCTGTGTGCCATGGGCTACTTCGTCGATTATTACTTACTTCCGAAGTACTGAGAGTGCAATACAGTGTGTTACTGTGTAAATAGTTTGTGAAACTGTACATATTTTAATTTTAGTGAATTTTTACCATGTAATATTGTGACAATAAACATTTATTGTGGACACATTACTGACACATGTATCACAATTCCATGGAACATTATGAACGTTCTACTGTATACATATTGTAAAGGACACAAATATGCATCATATATGATAAAAAACAAACAAAACTGCATTGGAAATACATGAAACAAATAATTGAAAATATATTTGTAGCAACACCCGGTGCTTGAATGGCCCGCGCGACCGTGTCTGGGCGAGTCACGCACGGGTGACCAGGCCCTGATGACGTCACAGCGCACCTTGTCCACGTCCCCACAGCCAAAGTAAGTGGCATTTGGCATTTATTTTTACATAGACATGTTCAGGGAAGGGAATTTATCATTTTACGAAGGAAAAATAATTTTGGGGAACACTTTATTTCATGAGCACCGGGGGAATTTCACAATAAACTTGGCGCAGCACGGTGGTTAATGTATCGTACAAAATATTGAACCCATGTTAAAACTTTCAATAGTACTGAAAAATATTTCTTGTACAATCTCTAATTCATTTGTTTAGTCTAAAATCTGTATTAATTCAAACTGCAAATAGTTCTCCAGTCAAATGTTGCACAATAATGCCATAACTTTATACAAACTAGTAGCATCCCATCAAACACACAACGAAACTACCATGTTGCTGCAACATTTGAACAAGTTGCAACATCTTCTAACATGTTGTAACAACTTTTGAACACGTCATAAAAACATAACATGATGTAACAACTTTGTAACCAGTTGTAAGATGGTAACAATCGGGAGCGTTACGTTGTGTAGTTGCAGGGATGCAGAGTGGCACAAATGTACCTTGAGGGTTTTGAGTGCGGCACCCTGGAAGGCCACTGGAGCCAGCAGAGTAGGAGGCACACCAGCCAGGGGTCCAGTGGTTGATATACAACTCTTACTGTTCAAAAGGAAGTTGATGAGGCCTTGTGTCTCCATGCCTTCCACATAAACGAGAGACGAAGGTGTGTTATCAACACTCTTATATTTTGCTCTCTCTCTGTAAAGACAAACACAAAAATATTTAACGAAACTAAAAAAATATAACAATGCATTCTGATACAAATCAATAAAACTTTAAAAACTTTATGAAATCATTATACGACATAATAAATATAAAACATATTTAACTACAGTATACAATGACAACATTTGTCAAAACTAATACAACATAATAATGTTTCGAGAATAACGCACATGTTTAGAATAAAAAAAAAAACAGTGTTGAATGTAATGAAACTCCATATTCTGGGTGAGTCCCGGAGGCTCCCCGGAGGCTCCCCGGAGCTATCCAGGCTGAATGGATATGTATAACTTTTTGGCATCAGTCAAAGTGCTTGGAGTTCTTGCCTACCGGGTACCATGAGCCAGAACCTGGCCTCATGAGAGAGGCACGAGAGCAATTGCCTATAGAAATATCCCCCTATGGCTGGGAGCATTCTATATCTGCCTTCGACCAGAATAGGCAACCAGAAAGGTAGGCGTCCTAAAGCAAACCTCTACTCTGGTGAAAATATTGCTACTGAAAATCAAACGAGTGGACAGAACTCCCCAAACAAAATTATGAAACTAGCATGACGTCATCACGTTGTTGTGCCGCCGTCTACGCAACCCCTCCTCCCCGGGAGGGGAAAAGGGAGAGCCCCAGACCGCCGTGCCAGCAATCCAACTGGCAGTTCTTAGGCTGGATGTCAAAATAAGTGAAAAATACCACCAACTGGAGGAAGGGAGGGATGCCAGGGAGCCTCCGGGGCTCACCCAGAAAATGGTGTTTCATTACATTCAACGCTGGTTTTCTGGGGGGAGCCCCGTCAGCTCCTCAGAGCTACCTCACCACAGATAAGAAAAAGAGGGAAGAATCCGGGAGGTGAACGCCACGTGCCTGAACATAAAAACAAGACCACAGACGAAACTAAAGGACCCCGCAGACGATCCGGGAGACCCCAACCCCAGAACAGGAAGGGGGAAAGGAAGGGAACCCCAGGCAAACCAAAATGTGTCCACAGCCCCAGAGGCCAAGACGTGCAGAGAACAGCGAAAATCCTCAACCGAGCAACAAAGGAAGCACCCCTGGACTCATCAACCAAGCAGCATTCCAAGGACCCCTCGAAACAGCAGCAGACCCAAACATCACCCGAAAAGGAGGTGACTGCATCAAATGAACAACCTACCACAAGAAACAAATGAGGCAGAAAAAACACGGGCGTCGGAGGAGAGCCAGAAACTCCCCAACCAGACCCCTAGAGGTCAACGCCAACAGAAGGAGACCTGAAAAACAAAGCAAAATCACACCAGAACCGAAGGGATCACAACAAACCGAGGAGAAGAAAGAAAATAAACCACCCAGGCTAACGACCAGGACGACACCAGAAGTGCAAGAGCAGGCTGGAGGTGAAACAAAGCCCAAGACAGCACGAGGAACGAAGCAGAAGGAACAGCAACACTGAACGCAAGCTGGAGCGGCTCCGCCAGCACCACCCAAGACGAGGCGACAGAACACGGCACCAGACAACAGTCCTGGATCAACCCCAAAGGGAAAGACAAGACAACCCTATCAGAAACCGAAGAACCCTTCGCAGTGATAGGAAAACCGGAAGGACCGCCAGGAAATCTACACACTGCCAACAAGATGAAGCACGCAGGTGGGAGACCAACAACAAAGCCAGCAGTGCCTACATAAGCGATGAGAAACTCGAGACAAAAACCCGAGACTCGAAGACTCGAGGGGAAGAATGAACCAGCCTCGTACAGGGCTGGACAGACCTGCAAAAAAACCAGCGTTGAATGTAATGAAACGCCATTTTCTGGGTGAGCCCCGGAGGCTCCCTGGAGCTTATCGGGCTAATATATGTTATGTTAGACTGGAGCAAGGTGCAAGGTGTTGCTAACCGGTTAAGAAGCCCAAACATAACAAGAGGGTAGAGGATAGCACTGAAAACCCCTGCGACGTGTACAATCATGGGGGCCTAGCAGAGGGCCGCCAAACACTACCAGTGGAACTATAGCCACACTGGACAGAACCCCCACCAGGCATGAAAATAAAAACAAAAGAAAAACCCCGCAAAAGTACACCGCCTCCAGAGGCAACAGGAACCGGCCGCCGCTTAGGTGGCAGGCTGTGCAACACCTTGATGACCTAACCAACACAATACCAATCCCTACCTAAGGCCAAACAAGGGCCCCAAGCCCCAGCTGGCCCCAAGGGCGAGGCAAATGCCGAGCAGCAAGAACCTCTACGTGAACAGTTCCCGAACGCCCCAGGGAAGATAACCCTGTTACGCAAGAGCAGTACTCGCAGGGTGCTTAGGGAAGTCAGCCACTAAGCGCATGCAGCCCTGGCACTGATGAGGCACTCCTGGCCACCGCACAACACAACACACGGCAGTGAACGCCACACAAGGCAAACACCGCTAGGAAACTGAGGCCAGAGAAGCGTCTATCTCGGTTGCCATTAGCTTACGAACTGAAGCTTGGCAGCCGGCGCGGTAGGTCCGGGGCTCCCCCCTCCCCCTCTCAAGGCGGGGAGGGCTGAGCGGACGATCAGTGCGGCAGTAAAGTGTGATTTTTGCTTGTTTGCTTGTTTCCTTGTGATTGTAGGGAGTTTCTACCTCTCTGTTCATTTTTTTGTTTTAGTTTTTTACCATGTGGGGTTTGTTTTGTTATGCCTACCTTTCTGGGTGCCTAACCCCGGTCAATGGCAGATAAGGAAAACCCCAACGACAAAGGGGTTTTCCAGGGCCATTGCTCCCTGAAAACCCTCTGAAGAGGCCAGGTTCTGGCGCTGGTCCCTGGTAGGTCTAAACTCCTTAGCTAATATCCCGGTCTAATATAACATACACTAGCCCGATAAGCTCCAGGGAGCCGTAGGGGCTCCCCACAGAAAAGAGGCGTTGACAAAGCCTTCGCCAGATGAGGTCTACTCTGCTCGAGCTGTCAGGCGGCAGTTGCCACAAAAATATTATTACCAAATTATTTCAATGTCTCTGATTTTTTCTTAGTTTTTTTGCAGTAATATTATTCAAAAGAGTGAATTGTGATATATTTATATAATAAAATGTGTGAACCATCGCTGCACTCAAAATTATGGTGTGCATATTAGTGATTCAATTATTATGTTCATAAAACAATAAACAAATAGTTTTGCTGTTATTACACTATATACACAGGTTATATAAAAGTATCTGCATGTTTTGCTCAACATAATGAACCACTAAGTTGGTCTTGTGAGTCAAAAAGCAATGAGGAGTGACCGCCACTCACCAGCCAGCCACTCCCTCCCTCAACAACACCTCACTCGCCCTCATTCTCCTCCCACAATACTGTTTTTGCATTTATTCACTATACACAGACGTTATATATACGTATTTACATGTTTTGTTCACCATAACTGTACATCTAAGCTTGTATGGTGAGTAAAGGCACAAAGACGTAGCTACTCACACAGTCAGCTGGTGGCGGTCGCCCTCAAGGCCAGACGCACTAATATTTCTCCTCCAACAATATTGTTTGTGGTGTTATTATGCTATATACACACATTATATATAAGTATCTACCTGTTTTATTCACCATACTTGTACAAATAAGCTGGTATGGTGCCCAAAGACCATAGTGGCCACCAGTAAACAACATGACAAGTCGTGCAGACGACACACCTCCATCACCAAAATGGCAGCTCCCAACCTACTCCTCTTGCTGTTATGACACTCTATGCACACGTTATATTTAAGTATCTACATTTGTGTTCACCATAGCGAACCGCTAAGCTGGTATGGTGAGTGTAGTCAATAAAAGGTGGCCACACACGCACAGTCAGAAGACGACGCCACCACCCCCCCTCCTACAGCATTACTCCTCCCTCCATGGAGCACAGCGCTAAATATCACCACAATCCTGCTATTATCAGAATCCTGGTCAGTTTTATCACAGTCAGGGGTCTTCTGTAATACTATCATCGCTAAATAATAGCAGTATCATATATATTATGGCATTTGTAGGCGATGCTGTGGTCACAAGCTGAACAGCGGTGCTGTGAGCTCGTGCTGCGTGCACCAGCCTTGGTGGCTTGCTCAATATTGAAGCTCTTACACCCAAGAATGTTGGCCTGGATTTTTTTCTAGGTGGCATCTGACAACTATCGGTCATTGCTGCACTATAGCTGCCCCTATCCCAGGGGGGTGTTTAACCCTTACACTGCTCAGGGGTCCTTGGGACATTTACACCCCTGTGCTCAAAAAAAAAAAAAAATCAAAATTTTTTTTTCGTCTTCTAAACATGTTAAATTGTGTCCCCTGAGCACGGAAAAAATAAAAAAATAATCGTAGGTGACATATTTTGGGCGCAATTGACCGAGGAAGTCTGGCAAAAAGTGGGCGTTGACAGAGCGGTCGTCAGACCCGGTCAGCGTCACCCGCGCTGACAGATGGGAGTTGCCACAAAGATATTATTACCTAATTGTTTCAATGTCTCCGATTGATTTTTTCTTAGTTTTTTGCTGTAATATTATTCAACAGTGTGTATTGTAATATATTTATATAATAAAAGTGGTGAATAATCGCTATACTGTACTCAAAAGTATGATGTGCATATTAGTGATTCAATTATTATGTTTATAAAACAATAAACAAATAGTTTTGCTGCTATTACACTCTATACACAGGTTATATATAAATATCTGCATGTTTTGGTCACCATAACGAACCACTAAGTTGGTATTGAGAGTCGAAAAGCAACGAAGAGTTACCGCCACACACCAGCCAACTACTCGCTGCCACTCCCTCAACACACGCACTAAACTTTCTCCCCCAACAATACCATTTGTGGTGTTATTACACTATATACAGACGTTATATATAAGTATGTATATATTTTGTTCACCACAACTGTACAGCTAAGCTGATATAGTTAGTTCAGGCACTAAGAGTCGTCGCTATACACAGATGGCGGCTGGCGGCTCCCTCACTCTTTCAAGGTCACACGCACTAAACTTTCTCCCCCAACAAT